AATAATCGCCACTCCTGAGGAAATAGCCCTGAAGAACACCTCTATCTTGTTCTCTGCTCTATAGGACGTCTGAGGGGGAGTCCCCAACCTGAAGAGATCACGGGGTTCTGACCCGTTCTATGGAAAGCACCAACTAAGTCCACTCTGCTGCTGTCACAGATGCGGAGACTGGTGCTCAGAGAGTTGTGCAAATGGATCCATGGTCTCAGAAACACTTAGAAAGAACATTTCATTTAGGATACCAATTACCTGGAAAGTTTTACAACATCATTAGAGGTGATAGAGAGTCATATGGAACAGTGGATGATTTGGTGATCTGCTCAGTGAGTAACCAGAGTGGGTAGGGGTGGACAGAGGATGCTCTGACTTGTGCTGTGTCCTGTCCTGCCACTCACAACACTTGAGGTTGCCAATGTGATACTGTTGAACATGGCATTTAAGAGAGACAAGCCTATCCCAGTGGTCTCTTGAGGCAGATGTTTTTCTGGCTGGGGTGAGCAGATGTTTTAGGAGGAGGAGAACTGAATAGGTCATTTCTGCTACACATGGTACCATTCGGTTGTGAGGGACTGCCCATGGTCTCTCCATAGGGCCCTCTGTGCTTGCTTTGGGTTCATTGACCACAGAACTCTTCACATTCCATTTCAAGGCTCAGCTGAAAGGGAAGGGTCTCTGTGAGCCTTTTCCTAGACTCTTTCAGGGATAATCACTTCTACTTTACAGGCCTAAGTATTTTGTTAGGCTTTTTTATTAGGGTAATCACCAAAACCTAATTGGAGATAGTAATCAGTAGATAACTATGGTGTTTTCTTTTCTTTAAAGATTGTTTTATATTTATTTAAAAGGCAGATTTACAGAGAGAGGAAGGACAGAGAGATTTTCCATCTAATGGTTCACTCTCCAAATAGCCAGAGCTGGCCTGGTCTGGAGCCAGGAAATTCTTCCAGGTCTCCCACATGGGTGCAGGGGATTAAGCCCTTGGACCATCCTCTGCTGCTTTTCTAGGCACATTATCAGGAAGCTGGATTACAAGTGAAGCAGGCATGACTCAAACCGGTGCCCATATGGGATGTTGGCAGCACAGAAAGAGGTTTGATCTTCTATGCCACGGTGCCAGTCACAACATCTTTTTTTTTCTTTAGACCATAGGTAGGCATCCTGTCTTTTTCCCTCTATTGTCAGAGAAACAGCATGGTATTGGGGTAAAGGCTCAAGCTTTAGTGAGACGACTTGACTTTAAATGCTGACTCTGTACTCCCTCATCCTGAGTTCTTGGGCATATCATCAAACTCGTCTCTAGTCACTTGTGAACTGAGGCATTGGATGTGAGTCTGTAGTTTATAGGCTGGCTAAAGAGCTTACCATACATGTTCAGGGCCTAGCCCATCTAGGTCTTCAGTAAATGTCACCTAGTACTGTTGGTCTAGCAGGGAGCCCAGTGCCTGGCACAAAATTGATGTTCAGTTGTTATTGGTTGAATTGAATTGACAAACAAACACAGCTTGGTAGAAGTTGGGGAATGGTGTGCTGCAGGGGATTTGCATGAGCAAATTATTGTTGGGGAAATGAGAATGACATATTTATTTAATAAGAATCAGTCGATCATAGAATTATAGGATCCGAGTCTAGTTTTCCAGCTGTGGTATGGTGAACACAGAGCAGAATGGGATCATGTGCATCCTCCCTTCACTCCATGTGCTAGACACTGCAAGCCTATAAATACTCCATTTGTTATTGCAATCACTGTTAGAAACTGCTGTTGATTGAAATATCTGCTTTTCAATCCGGTGTTTATGCTAGATTTGAAGTATAAATACTGTTAAATTTAATTCCATTAGGTTCAGTCCCTCATGCCAATCAATTCACATCTCTTCCAAACTTGTTTCTGCAGTTCATTCTGTCATCTCTCCTGTCTCGCTTTGTGTTGTTTGCAGTTTTCTAATCATGCCTTCTCTTTTGTTTTTGCTAAGCGCTATCCAGGCCATGTCTCAGAACAGTCCCCTCACGTGGCACTACAAACCCGCATATGTCTTGACACTGATTCATTAAACACCCCTTTTTTTTTTGCAATAGAAATTTTAAACTTTTCAAACCTAGCAAAGTGTGCAGTAATACAAATTTTGTCTTGTTCATAGGGGTGTCATGAGTAATTGTGCCGAAAGGTTATGTCTGCAGCATTTTCTCCAGCAGATATGGGAAATCTATCAGAGAGGATAATGCAGTTAGTTTGTTGCAATTTGTTCCTGTTTAACCTATGTCAGTTTCTAACAGCATCAACTTCCTTTTCCATATTGAAGGAAGGACTGTTCATTCAAAAAAAAAAAATGAAGTTGAATGTATCAAAGTAAGCCAGGCTCAAAATACAGAGCTTTACCTTCTGGGAGAGAATTTGGGGGCAGTCTTGATCTAGTGGGAGGTTGCTGAAATTTCTGACTAGGGTTTATAGGGTGAAAGTGAGTTTTAAGAAAGCCCACAAGGACTCCAGAGACTCATACCTGATTTGAAGTTTCAAGCAATATTCATCCCAGCATAGGCTGCTGGCCGATACTTGGTGAGGCCAATGGTAACAAGGAGAGATGATGGACTCGTTTTAACAGAAAAAAAAAGATAAATAATCATTGAGAGATGATAGGAGTGAAAAATAGATACTTGAGGATTTCACAACCTTTTCACATTATTCAACATGAAGAAAATCCCATCAGCGTGACCACTGGGGTCAATATGGCTGCTTTGGGATGGAGGTGACCCAGTGTTATGAGCACCAAGGCTTAATCCCTTATCCCCAAGTACCACCTGCTTCCAAACACTGGTCTAACCCATTAATATTTCCACATGGCTGGGGAATCATTGGGGAAATTTCTACTCTAGAAGTAAGTAGTCTTAGAAATATGGGTGAAAAAAAATCTTACAATAAAATAAGAATTAATAATACCAGGAGTCCCCAAGTTTCCCAATCATGATTCTGGGTATTGGGACAAAGGACAGCTCTTAGTGTCTTTGAATTCCACTGGGACTCCAGAGTGTGCTGTGTTGCTGTGGTGGTCAGCAGGCCAGGTGTACTAACAGCATTTTCAACATAATGTCTTGTCGACCTATAATGGATTTTGGGGATGTAATCCCAGACACCAAGGAGCTTCTATACACATAAGAAAAAAATCATAAATGTTTGTTTCAGTTGAATAATTGGAGACATAGAATCAATGATCATTTATACACTTGGAAGAAGATGGACCAACATCAGAGTTAATGCCAAGCAAAGATTGTGTGGGTGCCAAACAAGACAGCCCAGTACACCAAACCACTTCCCACATTATAATGATGCAGTAAAGCAAGGGTAGTGATTGTGCAGGCGTAATGCGGGCATGAAAGTATTCAGCACTGGGGGGCAAGCTGGAAGGAAGAAGTGGGTAGAAACCTGAAAGGAGACAAAAAGCACAAACAGTGAGCAGAGGGATTTTGGATTTTATATTAATATGAAAACCCAAGCCTTTTTGCTTGAAAATTTATGAAGTACTGCTAACTTGTTGCTACATATTGATTTCTATAGTTAATAAATTAAATAGTTTTGGTACCTTACCTGTTCTAGTAATTGACATTGTAGCATGAAAGAAATAATGAATTGCAACAACAGAAGTGCTTGGAATCTATAATTACTTGTGATAACTGAAGATATCCAGTTACAGAAAATGCTTAAATGTGCTCTTCTCTGTTAAACCCAATGGTCAAGTGGGGCCAATAGCACACCAGTTCAGTAGTGTGGATTCTGTTATAAAAATAGAAATGACTGGCTCTTCTGAAAGATAATGGACCCATACATTTCTCTTATGATTAGCAGCAGGTATACCATGTACCTGATTCAGTGGGTACTCATGCTTCATGCTGGAGTCTGTGCAAGTGGTGTTTCCTGTGGTTGGGGCACCTGCCTTGCTGTTTAAGCTCCCAGAGTATCCTGGCTGTCTAATTCATTCCAGAGCATCCACCCAGTTGAGCAGGTGCATATCTGCATTTGACCCACACATTCATCACCAGCTAAAACATGCTCTGTGCCCCAGAGAAGCTACGTCAGTATTCTTTCATTCCTGCTTACCATTTTATTTCAATTCAGATCTGCCTAGTTCTCCTCACAGTTCCCCACGGGACCTCTCCATAAGCCAAAACACATCCTTCTGGCTCATTTGCTCCAGTCATTCTGTTGACCTTTCCAAAGCTATTTGCTGCTCTCACTGTCATGCTTCTTGTTACAGTTAAGTAGTTTTAAAGAAACACACACACACAAAAAAACCAACAGCCATACACAAGAAACCCTGACATTATCAATCCTGGGTGCAGGATTTGGTTTATAACTTGCTACACAGCACTGCAAATGATTATTTACGTTTCTGACCCCTTCGTTTGGTATAAACTTGATCAAGGGCACATGGATGTATCTTTGAATGTTAGAGCTTAACAAGATGCCTAGTGCACACTGGGTCTTAATAGCTTGGTAAGTGGGTGAATGAATGAACCATCACTGCTTTTTAAAAGATTTGCTTATTTGAAAGGTCAAGTTATAGAGAAGGCCGAGCAGTAAGAGAGAAACAGATCTTTCATCATCTGGCCCTCCCCAAATGGCTCCAAACAACCAGGGTTCAGCTGGTTTGGAGTCAGGAACCTTGAAAACTGTTCAGTGTCCCATATGGGTGACCAGGAACCAAGTACTTGGGACATGTTCCACTGCTTTTCTACATGCATTAGCAGAGAGCTGGATTGCAAAGCCTGGACTCCAACCAACACTAATATGGGAGTAGGTAGCAGGTTAACTCTGTGTACCACAGTGCCAGTCCACCCCTTTCTTACATTTGAGTGCAGTAGGTTCATTCTGAGCATAAGGTTTGCAAATTCTTCTGTTCTATATAATTGGGTTGTGGCTGTTTGCCTTCTTGGGATGTTTCAGATGCTGATAGGCGAGGCCACTGTGTTGTGGAATGTGGTTTCTGAGTCTTTTCTTTATCCTTGTGCAGGTGGGGAAGTGGAAAGACAAATCCCTGCAAATGAAGTACTACGTGTGGCCCCGGATGTGTCCAGAGACTGAAGAGCAGGAGGATGACCACCTGAGTATTGTGACTCTGGAGGAAGCACCATTTGTCATTGTAGAGAGCGTGGACCCTCTGAGCGGAACCTGCATGAGGAACACCGTCCCCTGCCAAAAGCGTATCATCTCTGAGTACGGCAGCTTCTCTGATGACTCTGAGTGACAGGGACAGGCTCATGTGTGATGCAGTGTCAGCCTGAGGTCTGAGGCATGCAATGAGTTGCACACCGTCCGATTTTCTAGTTATCATTGACTCCTGCCAATGTTGTGCTCTGGTGTCTGGGTACATCCTGGGAGAATGGATGCTGGCCAAGTTAACACCCCTTTGGCCTTGCCCGGCCTCAACCACTAGGGTCTCTAGTTTATGGGAGATATAAATTTACTTTTGCTGTCCAACTGTTTTTTGGTGCCAGCATGGTCTGAAAGTTTTGAGAGTTAAAACCATCTTTTGTAATAGGTAACACTAATCTCTACTGTGAGGAGTCAGGATAATGAATCAGTTGGGTTAGGATGGGAAATGCCTGAAAGGCAGACTGGGGAGCCAGGCAGGTGCTGGTTATTTTTCTGTCCTCGGATTCAAGTGCTGGTTCAAAGGGAGAGTTCGGCATGTGAAAATGAATCCAATAGAACCCTTAGGATATGCTCCCTTTCCTGACGTACATTAGGCTTCAAAGACACGTTTAAATTTTTCACAAAGCAAAGCTCAGTGCGATGAGATAATGAAAATATTGTAGTTCTGGAGTCTGATTTATTTCTTCTTTCACATTTCTTACAATCTGCACTGAGCTGTGCAGGGTGGGGGTGCTTTGGGGTTTGATATAGAAGGACAAAGAATAATATATTGCCTCTGATATGAAGCCTTATTTTTGCTTTGTTTGTTTCTTTAACTGGCTAGGAACAAAACAGATGAGGAGCCAGGCTATATCAAAAAGTGCTGCAAGGGGTTCTGCATCGATATCCTTAAGAAAATTTCCAAATCTGTGAAGTTCACTTATGACCTTTACCTGGTAACCAACGGCAAACATGGCAAGAAAATCAATGGAACCTGGAATGGTATGATCGGAGAGGTGAGTGTCAGGAATGAAGGGCTGTTTCCATTGTTGATTTATTTTGTTTACTTTGGATGTGGTATAAATGCTCCTGAACTTGTGAATGGTATGTGTGGTGCCCCCTTGCTAGGTCCTGGTGACCCCTTGCCTTCCTGAACGGTCTAACTGGAGCCTTGCACCTTTCTCTGCAGGTGGTCATGAAGCGGGCCTACATGGCGGTAGGATCACTCACCATCAATGAAGAACGCTCAGAGGTGGTCGATTTCTCTGTGCCCTTCATAGAGACTGGCATCAGTGTCATGGTGTCACGCAGCAATGGGACCGTGTCACCTTCTGCCTTCTTAGGTGAATGAAGTTTTTCAGGGTTGGGGAGGGAAGATGGAAAGAAAGACCACTCCTTTCTTTTTAGTTGGGTGTTGGTCTGTGAGGAGTTCAACTTAACTGGTAACTTCATTCTGGGGCTTCACAATCAGTGATCCTCCAACATGAAACCGAAAGAACAGAGAGATCAGAAGCTACGATGCCCTGTAAGAGCACAGTGGTGGACTGCTAATCAGAGGCCTTATTCGCATTGCTAAGTCATCATTTGACCTTGAGAAACTTTGCTCCAGTGAGGGACTCTGTTTCTACCTCTGCAACAGACATTTCAGCCAGTTAATTTCTGAGGCTGTTCCCTACTATAATAATTTCTGATTGTGGATATCATCGAAATACTTAGTTTTAATTGTCTTCAAGAAGTGAGCTCAGTGCTACCAAAAACAAGTTTCTGTTTCCACATGAAGTTTCTGAGGCTTTGGCAGACAGACCAGATCTGATACTTCCTCCCACTCTACCCCATACTTCTCCAGACACGTCTCTGCTTCCCCACCCTCCAGCATCAGATGGATGTCAGAAGCCTGAGATTGTGATATAAGTGAATAAAGCCACAATTTCAATTAGACTAGGTCTTTTGTGATCTCATAGCCCATATTTTTGCAGGGTGTATACAGCAAGGATTTAGAAAATAAAATGTCACCTTGAAAACAGAACATTGGGCCAGGCGACCAGAAGCCTAGTTTGATCTTCAATAGGATATGAGCCTATAGTATTAATGGATGAACAATCTAAGAGACAGAACCATGTATTAAATAGGGATATTAGAATAGGTAGTAACTAATATTTATTAAGCTCTATCCACAGAGAATTAATTAATACATTACAAAGTAAGATTATAGGTTCTATAGAATTTCTCTGTAAAGTATCTGAATTTTGTAGTTGATCTTCTTAAACAAATTTTGGCCCTGCCAGTTTTAGGTGGAATGTGATTAGATCGCATATATGATATGTATCCTGCTTTCTAGTTGCTGTATGTATCTTTTTTTCCTTTACAATTGTAATTAGAACCTTAAGAGATACAAATAGAATAGACATTCGGCTTCTGACAATATAACATAGACTTCTGAATGGAACAGCCAATGGCATATAGATAGTGTGCTGGAATGTTCTAGAAATGCCAGGCAGGGCATGTGTGTTTGGTGGAGGAGCAGCTGATTAGTTACAGAGATGAGAGAAGCCAACTGATGGATCAGGCCTTATTATAAACTTTTTGGTTTTGTTCATCTATTAACACTATTACATTCCCTTTTTTTTATGGTTTAGCAAACTGAATCTTAGACAGCTGAGCCACTTTCCAACAGTCTCAGCTAGTAACTGGTAGATCCAGAATTAGACTCTGGCTTAAGCCTGTGTTCTAATACTGGTGATATCACATCAGAATCCAATCACTAACCTGGGAGCTAGTGCCCGGGGTGGAGACAGTGGTGCAGCATAAAGCCATGGGACAAGGAAAACTTTGTGTCCGAATCTTAGTTTACTACTTTGTGAAACGGGAAATGTGACCCATCTTGCACTTTTAAAAAGCTCATACTCCTATGCAGTAGCTGATGACAGTACGTCCTAAACTGCAGAGACCAATGCAGACATTTACTGAATTTGGTAAACAGAAAGTTACTCTAGAAGGAGATCATGGTGATGAAGTTTATAATTCAGTTATTCTTCATTCTGAAACAGAAGTACAATCAGGGTGGGACAGCGAGCAGTCAAGGGTAAGGGAGTATCCACAATGCTGCACGGAAGTTTTGAAATGGACCTTCTACCCTTCCATCTCTGGCTGCCAATGAAAGGTTTTGTGATTCATAGTGGGCATATTCATCTCTAGGGACCTATTTAGATAGATGAGGTGGCCAGGCTTCTATAAATCGTTTGAAATTACAATAGTAAACTCAATTTTGGAATAAAAAAATATATTTTCTAATTTTCAGCCATTTTCCCCATTTTCAGTGTCATCTTTATTAATGATTTGGAAGATAGAGCAAACAGCATATTAATTCACTTAGTTATGAGTTTACAATGTGATGTGACAGCTAAAAAGGCCAGAGCTATTTTGAGACACAATTGAGGGAGCATTGTATCATGGGACACAATAGCAATTGTCCCTTTTTTAGGCCTTCAGAGACAGAGAGCTGTGGGATATAGTGTTCAGCTTCTGGACATCTCCAAGACAGAAACTGAGTTCAACTGGAAAGCTTTCATCAAAAGTGAATGAAGATATTAAATAAAGCATGTAGAGAGCATTTTTGTCATTTTGCCTGGTCTTGTCCCATCAGCCCTGGCATTTTGTAACAGGGCATAGATTAGAATTGTTTTTTGAGTTAAAATTTATTCACATTTCCTTGTCTCCTGTTACATTCCCACAGTTTAAAATAGTGATATTCAATGTGTGTGTGTGTATATATATATATATATATATATATATATATATATATAATTTTTTCTCTTATGCTAGTAATAGCTAATGAAATATACAGTATCAAAGTGAGTTAGAAAAGCAAATTTAGACCAGGAAGTTTTAGAAGTGATGCAAAGGGGACAAGGGAACTGGCTATTCATCAAATGATCACTGAACCAATTTGATTCTGAAATGGTGGCAAAGTCTGTTGAGAATGCATTTGGCTGAGAAGCTCAAACACCCTAGAAGGGCGTTTCTAGGGCTCCACTATGTGATGCGGTGATAGAGATGAGAATGGACACCAAGTCAATCCAGTGTGACTCACTTATTCTGTATCTAGGACTTCCAAGTGAACTATTTACTGGAAAAGCACATATTGATCCATAAGTGGCAGAAACTCTCTGTAAACTCAAAAGATCCATGGACATGAGTCAGTGGGTGGGGGGAGAGAATGAGAAGGAAAGAAGGAAAAAATGGGAGAGAAGGAAGAAAAGTGAGGGATGGAAGAAAGAAAGAAGGAAGGTGTGAGGGGAGAGGGAGAGAAGGAGGGGGAGAAAGACAGAGAGAAGGATCCTTGAAACAGGAAGTGGAGTTACCCAGGCAACACACTTCCTTCTTGCTAACTCAGGCCCTAGCACAATGAGGCATGTGGTGTATTTGTAATTTACCACCCCACCCCCAAATGCATGTTTACCTGATCAAGTGAATAGATGAATTAATGAGTCTGTCTGTTCTCTGTTTTAACACTGTCCTTTTTTCTCCCCAGAGCCATTCAGTGCTGACGTGTGGGTCATGATGTTTGTGATGCTGCTAATCGTCTCGGCCGTGGCTGTCTTTGTCTTTGAGTACTTCAGCCCTGTGGGTTATAACAGGTGCCTCGCTGATGGCAGAGGTAAGGCCAGCTGGAACTGCTCCATGTCTGCCCTTTCTCTGATTCCAAATCTGCACCCCTCGTGTAATACCTGCATTCTTTCTAACTTCTCTAGTTCTGAAAAGAAAGCCTCAGCTTTCTGGGTAATCAGCTTGGTGACTTGTTAGAAATATCCAAGATGTTTGAATATGCATATGCCTTCCTGTTTATGACCGGCTCAAAGCCAAGTTCGACTCGTTGATAAATGACAGGAAGGATGAATAGGGGCTATGGGCAGCCTGAACATGTTGAGGAAACAATTTTGATAACCTTAGGCTATAGGAAAAGTGTTGGAACAGATATGACTAACAAGTTATATTATATACATATATTAAGAATAAGGGAAAATAATGTTCCCTAGGCTATTTGCAAGTGGTTGGGACTAATAGAGTTCCCTCACTGCATGAGGGTCATTTCTGAGGTGTAAGATTTCTAGAATGTACACTCAGGCTATGAAATACATTGGTGGGGAGAGCAGTTCCAGCCCACAGCCACCCTTGAGGAGTGGTCCAGTTCCCTGGGTAGGAATGTGCAGAGATATAAGGGCTGTCCATTCATTGTTTGAGGAGCTTATGACCCTTTTTAAAAGCTTACCATGTTTTGCACGGGACCAGTGGGATCCCTGTGAAGAACTCGTCCAAAACTTAGGATTAAGAAAGTTTTTCTTTTTTTTAACCAAGGCCAGTATCCTGTATATCCAGTATCAGACTTCAAGTCCCATCTTTAATTCTGCTTCAAATCCAGCTTCCTACTAATACACCAGGGAAGGCAGCAGATAATGGCCCAAGCTCCTGTTATTCATGTGGGAGACTTGGAGTCTGTTATGGGTCCCTGATGATTGGGGACATCTGAGGGTTGAACTAGCTGGTAGACAATCTTTGTCTATTATACTCTGCCTTTCAAATAAGAAGCCTTTAAAAATAGTTTTTAAAGGGAAGTAGTTTACCTTCTATGAATTGTCCTTGAATTGTAAGTAATTGTACTAGTAAGTAGGAAGGATTCTTACCCTGCCTATGCATAGGAATTACCTATGGGACACTTGGAAGACAATGATTCTTGAATTTCATGTTCTGATTCACCAAATTTAGAATGGAGACTGGCTTCAACATAGTGGTTCTCCAGCCTGGTAGTGCATAAGCTCACCATGCCCATTTAATAAGAATATCAAAGTGGAGCACCACGCAGCAGTATTTTGTAAACGTTCCCCAGGCCAGGTATAAACTGCCATTTCATCAGCAGGGTTCAGATGTAGACCTGTTTTTGCATCTAGTTTGTGTATTCTGGAGCAGAATTCTGTCTCCACAGCACGGTGACCTCTGTCCATACAGGTCATCTTGAAGCCATGCCATGTGTCTCAGCCTTAGGGCGTCACAAGAACATACACGCAGGCTGGCAATGTCAGAATTGAAGTCAGTGTGTTCTTCTACCTTACTCTGAAAAAGCTGGGTTCAAATCCCATTTCAAAAAGCTGAGAGCAAAGATTTTTGGTTCCTCACTTTACCAAAGGCTGTTATTTTTTTTTTCTTATGGTGCCACTTGAAACACCAAGTCGCTTTAGAGCATTTCACAATTTATAAACTATTGATTTATATTTTGCATGTTTTAAAACCTTTGATTTATAAACAACTTTTTGGGGACACATCTGCTGTGTGAAATGATGTCCACACGCACAGATGTGTGTGCACAGTTAGATATCGGGTCCAACATGTGTTAGTCCCTGACGATTTACTTGGCTGAGCAGATGCTGTCGGGATCACAGTTCACATCCTAAGACCCATGCGAAGATGTTGTAAAATCATGCAGGCAGATGTTCCTTTCCGCAGTGGAGGGGCTGCTTTATGGAGAACCAATGACAGACGTGCTTTTACCATGCAGACATAGCAGTGAGGGGACAATACATGCCCGTGAGGGACCAGAAGCCCTTGCACCACCCTGTGTGTCCAGAGTGGGTGGAGCGAGATAAAAGTCAAAACACAAGGGTATGACTTCCTTTCCCCCTGAGGGTTCTGATGTATTTTTTTTTTACTCAGAAGCTACAACTTGAGGAGACTGTTGAGGAAGTGCTGGTATTGGAGTTAAGTCAAGATCATCTTTGAAACATTGAGAATTAAGTGTTGGAAGCCAAAGAAAAGGCAGGAGAAGTTCATTCGGAGCCATCTAGCCTCTAGACTAGACTGAGAGGAGATTTATGACCATGGTGAAAAAAGTCTGCACATAATTCTTGCTGACATTTTTGGAAGCTGAAATGCTTTCTTGGTATTTACAAATATAAAACTTAGGAAAACCAAAATTAATGGCTTGATATTGACCATAGAAGGATAGTTGCTCTTTGCTTTTTAGTTTTTATGTGATCTTGAAGGTGTTGGACATGGGGACAGGAAGATCACTCATCCTGGGTCCCTACTGAGTCATGATTGTTAGACACACACACACACACACACACACACACACACACACACACACCATGCCTCTAGTTTTTCTCAACATCTCTCTTCTTCTTTTGTAAGAGAAACACAAGCTATTGAACTAGAAAGTCCTCTGTAAAAGACCAGGCTTAAGTGAATGAGTTCCTGCTTTGAGTAGGAACTTACCAGCTTCGTGTACTTGAACACTGAAATGGAACCAAAAATCCAATGATTCTGACTTAACTTTCTACCTTTGTCTTTTTGTCCTTCCAGAGCCAGGTGGCCCATCTTTCACCATTGGCAAAGCTATTTGGTTACTCTGGGGTCTGGTGTTCAACAACTCCGTCCCCGTGCAGAACCCGAAGGGGACCACCTCCAAGATCATGGTGTCAGTGTGGGCCTTCTTTGCTGTCATCTTCCTGGCCAGCTACACTGCCAACTTAGCTGCCTTCATGATCCAAGAGGAATATGTAGACCAGGTTTCTGGCTTAAGTGACAAAAAGGTAAGAGACCTGTGTACGACTTACTATCTTTTGCTCCATCTTGTTCTGAGCCATACTCAGAATCCTCACTTCTACTAGTTTTCTGTCTTGGAGACATGGAGTAGGAAATCAGTGTCCCACTGAAATAATAGGACTACTTGTTTACCTCCAGATCTGTGAAAGGTTGTCAACAAAATTACACCCTGGGCTGCAAATAAGGGACTTAGTGTGTTAGAAGTTTTCTGTGTATCTGGTTGTACATTTGGTTGGGTGGCTCTGTCAGCACTGAACTGCCCATTAGTTGGTTATTAGAGGGCTGCCCCTGTGTACCTACATGGAGAGGACTGGAGACATAAGACCCTGTTTTCTTCCCAGCGGTGTTTGACTGTGGGCTCTCCATTTGTTTTTCTGCACACTCATGTGTTCCTAAGACTGTGCCAGGAGGATTGTTCACATTGTTTTGCAAAGAGAAGTAACTGCCCTTGAAGTCAATGAGGCCCCCGTGTGCTGCTGATTGAATAGGTTGCTCTGGAGCCAATCACAGCCCTCCCCACAGGCTTGTGCAGTCAAGAGAAGGCAATCATTCTTTAGTCTCAGTCATTTGTGTAGGAGGATGCCGAAGCCCACTCTAAAGGCACGGGACTCTCTAGCTCTACCTGAAGCATCACGGTTTCTATCACAGCTCTGATGCCTGAAGTCATCATCACAAAAACAACCTAAGACTCGTGTTAAAGACTTCCTTCGAGGAGTGTCCAGTAGAGTTTAGGGCCAAAAGAATTTTGCAGACTTTTACTCACGACAGATGTCCCACTCTCTATTTAAGATTTAGAAAACAATTTCCCCCACCCCGGCCTGCACCTCCAGGATAAAGCCATGAGATAATGAGATATGGGCAAAGTGTCTTCAGACCCAAAACGGTTTTATCACATGGATTAGGTTTCCCCCATGTAAAACCCTAGACATGTAAGCATGTGGTTTGAGTAGATTCACCATTTGAATCTCTGTCTCACATATGCGTGTGCACACACCCACATTGCTACTTCATCAACATCCTTCAACATTTTGATCCTAACTAGATTTGAATTAGACACTTGCCATCACCCTGTGTTCAGCCATCACCACTGTGACTGCTGCCACCTTTTTGCGACCCCGGTGGTGGTAGGGCTAAGATTAACAACTTCCTCAGGAAGCAGAATGTAGATGTAGCCCCCCCCCCAGAGGTTTAGATGTTGCAGCAGTTAATAGGCATGCCCAAAACTAGTTTTTCAGAGATATGCCAGGCTATGCCTTCACACCAGGGGAAGGCAGAGGTATAGCAGTTTTTGCATCCACATAGAGTATGGCAGAGCTGATCTGTGTCACCTTCCATGGTGGAGAGACAGTGTCCTCATGCATGATGTAGCAGAATATAGTGAACTTTGTCACCAGGCACTAATATTGGCAGCTGGTGGGTAGACTGTAGTCCTTCCAGAGCCCTGGGCTCTTCATAGGGGAGCCACTGTACACATCACAATGTTTTCTTCAAGTGTCTCTGAAAATTTTTTTTGGAACTCTGTATGGGTCTTTCTCATACTATTGTGGGCTACCAAACACAAACTGAATGCATGTCTCCGTAGGAAGGAAATGTAGTTAGGATGGAGGAGAGTTGTTCAGCCTTCTGTGGTTTTGAAAGAACATAATCATTCTGTGCTGTAAGACAGACAGGGTATGAAGTTGCTCTCTACACCACATTACTTCTTTCAAGGACTTTTCATTATGCTTCAGATTTCCAGTCTTGCCAGCCAGGATTTGGGTTTTTGCCTCCCATACCCCAGTAATCCTCAAGTCCTCTTACTTCTCAGCCATGCTATTCTGTTGTACCCCTGGCTGTAGTGTTCTCATATCTTCACCCATCAAACTCCTAAAACCCCAAGACTCATAGTATAGTCACCTGACTGGTGGAGTTCTCCCTGACTCCCCTAGAGAGTTAACCCATCTTTCCTCAGTTGTGACAATCACTCATCTCTTTATTATAACACATGTCTTCCACATTTGATTGTAGTAGTCAGTGCCTGGCCATATCTCTGTGAGCTCTACAAAGTCAGGGACCACATTACAGTCAGTGTGAAGACAAAAAGTCTGCAGCACATTTCCTTAATAGCATCTTGCACAAACAGTGGAATCAGCATTATAGGCCAGAAAATTAACAAGACAGCAAGAATTTTCAACAGCTGTTTAATTTGAAAATGAGTATCGGATGCATTTCAAGAATTTCTCCAATGACAAAACAGTAAAGTGTATGCACTGGCCCAGAAAGTGTCGACATAATTTATACAAGTATAGAAAAATATGTAAGTAACTAATGATGTATAACAGCATGTCAGTATCAGAAACAGTTATGCAAATCAGAAGGAGCATTTTTAAAAAATATACTTGAAATGTCAAAATTCTTACTAGCTTTACTTCAAAAGACCAAAAAAGGTCTTGAGACAATGGAGATAATACATCAGGGGTAGCATGTGAATTTTCAGAAGTTGAGAGAGTGAAAGCATTCCAAATAGTAATGCTGAGGAAGTCAAAGAAGTTGTTTTGAATATTCTCTTTCACAATATAATTTAATTTTTATCAAGGAAATTAACATTTAAGTTGGAGAAGGGTTGCCAAACTCATTTTGACTATCACAGATGACGTGTCTTCCATACAACTCAAAAGATAAATATCTTGGAATGATGATGGAAAGATATTTGCAGACATTAGGTTTATAGCTCCTTAAAAATTCTCTCATTTTGACAGAAAAAAAAATCTCATTTATGTTAAGGTGCAAAGCCAGAATGTTCACAGTTAAATTTCCATGAAAATCCATTTTTGCGCCCCTTTTTACTGGATGACTTCCATCCTTTAGCAGCATATTAAAGTTGGAATTACTGCACTAACCTGCTGTTAAATAAGCATGTAAATAAGCATGCTCAGGTTCAGACGTGCAGCAGCCCTACTGTGCGTTCCAGCAGCCCTACTGTGCGTTCCAACAGTACACTCCGTGGAGGGTGTAAGGCAATCAGTGACATCAGTCTTTTCTTAAAAAGAGTTCACAGTGCTCATTAACAAGTTTAGTACCTGTTTCTCATTGGGTAGTCCACTAACCATAGTGTGGAGATTGGCCTGGAGAAGTAAAGGGACCTATTTCCCAAGCCATAGATGCATTGTGTACCATATGCATACACTGTTTATATGACCTCCCTAAAGGCCTGGCAAGTCCCATTCTACATACAAGAAGGACACGGAGAAGCTTAGTCACTATTTATTGTCAAGTAACAGAGTCAGTTGCTACTTCCTGTGTGCCTGAGTCTTAGCAACTTCCTACCAGGATATCTCCTTTGTTCTCAATCCCAGTTAAAGTTAGGCTGAAGCCACAGATTGGTATTAACGCTCCTACGTTTGCTTTCTCGCTTAAGTCCCTATCTTCTCATTACCAACTGTTTTAGTTACATTTAATGCAACCTTTCCCATCACATGATCACCTCTATTGCTACTAATAACAACTATTATTATCAGCAATCTAGCTCTACTAATATTTCAGCTATTGTTTTATCAGCTCTCACAAGCCATACAGAATACCATGAATTGCAGTGCATTCATTATAGGGATTCCCTTCCATAATTGTGCTTGTTGATACCTTTATTTGGAGACATGAGGCAACTGAAATGTAGAGAGATGAAGTAGTTTGACCCTGTAATGTTCCTGACTGTCTGTGGACCCTAAACAATGTTCTGTGTTGAATCGACCCTGGTGATTTTTCTAGTAAATCGTTTTTTCTTCCCACCTTCCCTTCTGTTATCAAGGCTGAACAAGTTAGATCCCTTTCTGGTACTAAAAGTAGCAATCTAACTAATTGAGCTATAATAATTAGATGGTATCCCAAGATTTGCACTTTATCTAATAAGTCTTTTAGAAGCATCACTTTAAACAGAATCATGGTAATTTCTAGCACTTAGGCAAGCTAATGGCTTTCAAATTGTCTTTAGTCTGAGCACAGAATAACCCTGTAAAGCTACTGTAGGTATCAGGACAGTGAAGGGTCAGTGTTGCGGGAGGGTGGTGGCGGTCAGTGGAGTTTGGGGTCACAGGGACAGAAATCTGTAGGGAGGAGAAAGCTACTGGCATCATGAGAGAGTGAAAGGCTGGTGTCTGCTTCAAGGCATATCTCACCTCATCCCACTTCACACATTCCTACCACCGCTGGAAGCATACACGAATCATACTGTGTAATTCTCTCCCTCAAATAGACACAGAAGTAGGGAAATGGTCAGGGAATAGGAACATTTCTGCTGAAGACCACTTGGATATTTACAACATGATTTACAGGTCTTCAAATAAATTAAGAATTAGCCTGCCCTCAGTGCCTTGGCAAGGCCACATCAAATGATTTCACAGGCTTTATATGGCCTGTGAGCTCAGACATTGCCCATTCCTGCTGAGGAAGTTTGTATGAGTGCTGAACAGTATAGAAGTCTTTACATATTGAATGATGGCATGGCCCTTTGCCTGCCATGTGGGAAACAACCTCAGATTGGCCATGTAACACTAATTGAGGATCTTTCTGGATAGTGATTTGTCTGGGTCCCTAAGAAGCCCCCACATGGTCACTTTTTTTTGTCTTTTGGGAGTATAGGCAAGTGCTGTGTTTAAATGTCCCCTCCTGAACTCACATTGAAACCTGTCATTGTAATATGACTAAGAGACAGAATCTTAGAGAAATGGAACCTTGAAGAAACTTGTTTTTTTCAGAGCTCTTAAGGTGCCCTCAAAGTATGGGATGAAGATTGCTATCATAGGAATGGGCTAGTTATCTTGGAAATGAAATCTTGCTTCCTCAGCTACTACTGCCTCCGTCCTCTTTCTCTGTCTCACTAACTCCCCCATCACACAGGGTCTCTTCAATGTTAGGATGCAACCCCTTGGCTTTGGTAGACACTGCTATGATGTTCCTGGGCTTTCAGCTTGTACATACACGTTTACTTTATTCATAAATTGCCCAGTCTGTG